CCAGAAAACGCCCGAGTTSTTCGGAATGTCCCATTCTCATGCTATGGGGCATGCACGGACATCCCCATCCACAACTCGCCATTTCAGAGCCTCCCACCCCAACCTTCATCATCCTCCCTCTTTTCCCAGCACTTCACGTGGAAGGTGGGGAAGCAGCCTGGGCAAAGCAGGCCCTGTTGTGCCCTGCTAACCCACGAGCATTTACTGTAGTGCACTGATATTACTGATATTACTGATGCACTGCAGTGACAGGGCTCTCCCAAAGTGGCTTTCCCTGCGTTGGCTCTGCCAACGATGCAACAGCTCCAGGCTCAGAAATCACCGAATCCCAGTGATTCAGTGATTCGGCTCTCGCTTTAACAGCCCAACGGGCCGGGGAGACGGGGAGCGACAACAGGAGGAGGAAAACAACCGTTTCACGCCCTCCGGCTCCGGAGCGGGATGATAAATTGACATCATGTTGTTATGAGCGTAATCCTCAAGTACTCAATCACTGCTAAAAAATAAAACACGATCCCGAGGAGATAAAAATCATTAATTCTACATGCACCTACACGGGGCGCGCCRAACCAAGTTTTGTGCTCAAAATAAAGGAGAATGCGTGTATGTACATATATTTATATAAAMTATATATGCATGTGTATTTTCTTTTATTTTAGCTGTTGTATGTCACGTCGGAGCARGAGGCACAGGTGCACGCACTGCTGCCGAGCTCAACAAGCAACAGCTCAAGGGGAGGAAAGGGAGGCGAGAGGGGCGGCCAAGCCTTGGCGAGCCACCCCCTCCCTTTCAAAACAAGCCCATTAGGTTTAATTCCAGAGCCACAATATATAAATAACCCGAAAAGCACCGGGAATAGCCCCCGTTGACTAATGCCCCTGTCTTTTTCAATCGAGGGTCACATCTAGTCTAACCAGTCGCATGATAATGGCATCAGAAAAGGTCAATCAAAGACGAGCCGGAGCTTCCCCTGCCTGGCTGACCTTCGGCGCGCGGGACAAATTGCTATCAGTCAATGTCAGCTAATGACAGCGGCTCTTTGGCTAATCAATTGTTCTAAAAATGATCAAGAAAACTACTCACAGGACAGCTCATTTTCACATCAATGCCTGTGAAGTATGAAAAGCTCATTTTTTGAGTTTTTAATAAGCTCATAAGTAAAGCAGTTACTTGGTAACAGGGGTCACCTTACCGAAAAGACAGAACCTTTGTCTGCCTTTTACATATTCTTTTATTACCATATTATAGTAAAAAATATGCTGGGCTATTACGGTGCCAGAGGGCTACATAATAAAGCAGGCGATACTTCATACCTTTTCTTTTTATTATTTTTATTCTTTTCTTTTTTTTCCGAGATAATACTTTTGCCTTTTGGGGGAGCTCTGTTTGGCTGTGGATGGTTGGCGGCCGCTCCGCACGTGCTCSAACGCGGAGCGGGCAGCGCGGCTCGCGGGCAACGCTGCCCACGCCGACCTCGTGCCACAGAATTGGAGGCCGGGCACAAGCTCCTGGACTCAGCATGTGGGTTAGGGCCAAAAGGAGCAAGGCCGGTGCCGCTAGTGCTTGCTGAGGAGCGTTGGCCAACGCGCGATGGCCAATGCATTGGTCAACGCAATGGCCAACGCATTGGCCAATGTGCAATGGCCAATGCATTGGTCAACGCATTGGGCAGCGCATTGGCCAACGCATTGGCCAACATGCAATGGGCATTGTGTTGGCCAACGCATTGGGCAACGCATTGGGCAACGCATTGGGCAACGCATTGGGCAACGCTCAAGCAAAGCTGTAACAGGAGAAGGTGAAAAACGAAGTGTCAGAGTGGTCAATGACGGGCAGAGGTGAAGGGGAGCCATGGCCCCAGCCCCAGGTGCAACGTGCTCGTTAAGAGGCCCCGTGACGGGCTCCGGCCTTCGACGCCGTCGCTCACGGGGCAGCCGACCGCTCCAGCGCCCACCGCGGCCCACGCTCGGCCTTGCTTCCATGTACAGAAGGGTGAGGGGGATATGAACGGCCACCGAGCTGCCCGGGTGATAACACAACTCCCCTCTCCCACTCTGGCCAGGGCATGAAAAATAGGGAAAACCAAAAATAACAAAACACATAACGCCCTGGCTTAACAGCAACCGCACAAGATCATCGTTCAACAGCCTTCAGGCCCGACTATCCCAAAAGCAAAGCAAAGCAAAACAGCTCCGGCAGCATCCCAAGCCGGATGCTTTCGCAGTTAGGACAGAGAGCAAAAATAAAGCGCGAGCCCGGCTTCGCCCTGCCGCCGGGCCCGGGCACTCCGCGGCACGAGGCTTCCCAGCGGCTCCCTGGCACTTAAACGGGGATGTGCACAGTGGATCGGAACAGCTTGCACTCACCGCTATCTGCTAAGTAAATACATTTGCATGAAAAGGGGGAAAAAATAAACGAGCTTTGTGGTGTTTACGTGTGGGAGCAGCTCTCCTGCTCGCCGAGGTGGTCGCTCCACGGATTTTGCACGTGGGGCTGTAAATGAGTGAAAAATGCACTCTGAAGGGATTAAAAAAGCAGCTGTGAAGCAGGTAAAGAGGAGAAGCTTTAGAAAGGCCCACAAGAGCCTTCAGCACAGAGCCTAGGTCAGCCTAGGTCAAGCACAGCCTAGGTCAAGACCTGAGCACTCACACGGAGGAGAAGGCCCTTGCTGAGGCCCGGGCTTCCCGCTCTGCCCAGCGGCACCGCTCGCAGCGACGGCTCTGCGGGCAGGAGCRGAGCCCGGCCGCCCCATCCGCGCTGCCCGTCCCATCCCGTGCCCCAAATCCGCCCCTCGGAGCAGCCTGAGAGCCCCTGCAGCCCCCGCGCTCGTGGAACCACCTGCAAACAGGCATTTCACCTGTCCAAGGGGGAGAACAGGTCGTGGGAACCACCTAAAGCCAGGCTTTTTAAAGGGTTATACTGCAATGATCAGTTTTTCTTCCCCCTTTTTTTTTTCTCTTTTTCAGTGGCAAATGCATTCTCGACAGATGGACCCAAAAAGAAGTTTTTAAAAATTCCTAAAAATAGGGAAGCCCATAATGTGCTGAGAATAATGTCACGCGCGCTGCGTGTCCCGAGCTCAACCCTGCGCCGTGAGAACGGGCACGGCGCGGTCGTGGTGTCGCCGATCCTGGCGTGGCGCCTCAGCAAGAAAAACACAGGTTTAGGTTTAGCCTGCAAATCGTGACACTTTTAACTTAAATGCAGCCAGGGAGGCGCGGAGCACGGGCTCTCACTGCTCTCCCTCCTCTTTCCCTTTCGGTCCCTCAGGATCGCGTTTATGACTTTTTCTCCCTGCTCGGGAAGGCGACAACGCTGCCTTTCCTATATATGGTGCGTGGAGAGTGTGTGCAGAGGGACCCGATCTGGTCGGAGGCTCCGGATTCGGCGTGCGCGGAGCCGGAGCTGGCGCCACGATCAGGGCGCTGCAGAGGCCGCGCTTCCCACCTACCGCTTCCTGCGGGAAAAGGGCATTCCTGAGGGCGGGAGGCAATCCCGGCACGCGCGGACGGCACCTGGGGAAGAAGGGGCATCCCCAGCTGCAGGTGCCCCCTCACTCCTCCCCAAAACCCCTCAACAAGCCCCAAACTTGGGCCAGGAACCAAGAAGCCCAGAGTGCCCAAGGGGTTTAGGAGCCTGCGGAAACTCTCCCCGCAGATGTTTGCTGCTCCCATCTCTGCATCCATCCACGAACACACACGCATCCAGCCCCTAGCCGGCTGCAAAATCCTCCCCCGAACACCTACGTTGGGCTGCGAGCGTGTTTTTGCAGCAACGTTCGCGCCCGTACGAAGAGCGGGGATTTAAAGCTTGCCCCGCAAGGAAGGGGCTCTAATGAACACATTGACACTACGTTAACGACAGCATTGCGAACAGCSACGCTATAATATATCCGTACACACACTTGAAAGAAAAAAGGCCCCTTGGATTTATGTTGCATATCATTTTCCAGTAAAAGTCCGAGGTCAGGAGGTTACCAGTTTCTGCCTCAGCTCTGCAACAGTTTACTGTTCCAGGCCCCGCTTTTACTAGGCTCCACTTGTGATGAAGTCAGCAACTTTTCTTTAAACAATAAAGCGTCTCAAATGCTTAAAATTCTATAAAGAGATGTTATTCRCCACGTACGCTACGTCCGCGCGGATAAAAAAATTAAAATATACTGGTTTAGTTTAAAAACTAATCTCGTTAAATGTAGACTTTGCAATGCTAATCAGGACTGTTGGGCCCTTTTTTTTTTTGGAAACACAATTCCTTTGTTGTCTAACAGCGCTCGAATGAAACACGATCATAAAACCACATTTAAAAGTATATACCTATCGCGAGTTCAGAGGCAACTTCAATGCAGCGCTCGCTTTTATATTCAGATGAAGGATCCTTTTTAAAATTTTAATTGCACGGAATTAGCACTAAACCCACTGCAGTTGGTCTCTTCAGAGAAAAGTGGGAAGCGTTCAGGCAGCTTCTCAAAAACAACAACAAAAAATGGGGATTTGGGGTTTTTGCACGCCGGGAGGGTGCCGGTGCCCGCAGCACGGAGCCCGCTCCGCGCTCGGCTCTGMGGCAGTGCCGGTGTCTGCTGGGCTGCTCCAGCAAACACTTCTGCATCCACATAATGGGAATGGAGGGGGGAAATGAAAGGAAAGAGAGGCGCTGCTGGGTTCCTGTGGCTAACTCCTGCTTGCCACGCCGCCAAGCTTCCGCGGCACCTCTGCAATGCCGCCGCGCGTCCCGGCAGCCTTCATTCCACCCGCTTTTGGAGGGCTCATCTTCTACCCCGTTTGGGCGAGGGCTGGGCTGGGGGGAAGGCAGAGAGCCCCCCTCCCGGGTGCCCGTTTCTGTGAAGCGCGCTGCAAACGCGGCACGCGTGTCGCTCTACCGGGCGCAGGGAGGGGAGATGCCGGTCGTTTCCCTAGCGGGAGATGGGGTGGAACACGGCAGCGTGAGGCAGGGGAGGCGGAGGGAGGGCGCGCGGGGCCGGGGCCGCGGCGCGAGGCTCCTAC